ACAGTGAAAGGAGAATACAGTGGGAAAGGCAATCTTTGTGAACATCCAATGTCTTTCTATCCATTATGATTACTGCACTCAATTTACAAATCTGAGAAATGCAAAACCAAATTTAAGTGATATTTTTGAAGATGCTTTCTGTCTTTCCTGTCTTATTTCACTATGCACATTTCACAGACTTGGTGAATTCAATCCAACTATATCCACCTTTAAACTATATCCAGAGGAATTAACATACTCAATCAAACACAAGTTGGAGTAAGAATGTGGTTGTAAAATATGGCTTGTGAGATTTCTTGGGATTGTCTTATCAATGGTTTTAAATGGAAATATGGTTCCATTTAATTAGATGAAGATTAAATTAACTTAATTAACAATGATTTAAATGGATTGGCAAAGTTGACACTTGTTTCTAGGATTCACCGATTGAATATTCTTCCCTTCTGAAAATCTTATCTTTGAAAGTTCCTTGAATAGATCAATAAAGTAAACAGCTTTGATTATTTGGGATTTATATAACTGTCCTACATATCCTTAAATAGGGCAGTATCAAGAATGTTAAAAGAAAATTACCACTGTAAAACAAACTTAATCTTTATTGAAAAATCTCCTTTTTAAGAATGAAGGAAGAACTGCAGGAATGACTAAAAGAATCGTTTTCAAATCCATTTTAATTAAATGTTTTTACTATCTAAAATGATAGTAAGGATTTCGCATGGGGGAGTGTTTGCAAATTCAGGTGTGACACTCCAGCAGAACTGAGATTACTTTAGTGTCTTTGGGGATTTTTCTTTAGTTAAGAGAACAACTATGCTCTTAAACAGAAAAAAAAACCCAGTAATGTTTCCAGAATGTTTGGAAGCATTGAGAGATCATCTCTCCACCTCCAAAAAATAAACCAGAGAGAGAGATGGAGGACAGAATGTCCTATTGTTTACTGCAGTGATAAAGATGACAGTAGACACAGTTAATGTTTGCAGTTTAATTAATAACAACACCGACAAGGCAGAGAATAAAGAGAAAATACAGCCGTCGCAAATATGAGGCATGGAAATAACTCCTGTTCATGGCCAGCCACTTAGAACCTTTGCAGCAAGGGACATTAAAGATTGGTGCATCTTGTCCTTATTTAGCAGTTCAGAAGTTGCAATAGCTTTCAAGAGAACTATAGCGAGCATAAGTGCAATGCTAAGTCATGATTTGTGTTCCCTCTTCAAATATAAATAAGTAGTAATCCTGCATACAATTATGTGTTCTTTCATCCTAAAATAGGCACGATGGGCAGGTTTATCTATTTAGTATCCCACTCCCCAGGTTAAACCCAATCCCATGGTTCCATGTGACATCTCCCAGCATATTCAGATTTATCTGTTTGAAACTGCAGGACACAATGTGAATCTTTGTAAAAGTTGTCCTCATGGGCAAAAATGAATACTAAATCTCTCTCTATATATATGTATTAGCCGTCCCCTGCCATACGTTGCTGTGGTCCAGTCTGGTGATCTGGAAAATAAAGGAATGGTTTCTAATATATATAATTCCTTTATGCTTGCGGGTAAACAGTATTCCTTGTTGTTTCTATGTCGGTGTTGATGTGGAGATTGTCTGGTTTGCCTAGTATGGAACATATATATGCAATATATAATTGTCCTTCTATAGGGGTCCCTTTAAAATCTATGATACTATATCTCTCTGTGTGTGTGAATCATATATATCTATATATATCTATGGCTGGATGGCTCTTTGTTGGGAGGGCTTTGATTACATTTTCTTGCCCTGGTGAAGGGAGTTGGACTGGATGGCCTTAAGTATTTCCAGTTGGTCATGGGGGTTCTGTGTGGGAAATTTGCCCCAATTCTGTCATTTGTGGGATTCAGAAATTGTAGGTGAACTATAAATCCCAGTAACTACAACTCCCAAATGTCAAGGTCTATTTGCCCCAAACTTCGTCTGTGTTCATATTTGGGCATATGGAGTATTCGTGCCAAGTTTAGTCCAGATCCATCATTGTTTGAGTCCACAGTGCTCTCTGGATGAAGGTGAACTACAACTCCCAAACTCAAGGTAAATGCCCACCAAACCCTTCCAGTATTTTCTGTTGATCATGGGAGTTCTGTGTGCCAAGTTTGGTCTTATTCCATCGTTGGTGGAGTTCAGAGTGCTCTTTGATTTTAGGTGAACTATAAATCCCAGCAACTACAACTCCCAAATGACAAAATCAATTTTTTTTTAGTGAAGGACATACATTGGGTTGTTAGGTGTGTTGTGTCCAAATTTGGTGTCAATTCGTCCAGTGGTTTTTGAGTTCTGTTAATCCCACAAACGAACATTACATTTTTATTTATATAGATGTATGTATGTATAAACACACACCACCTGCTCTATGGATATCCTCAAAAACTATGCAGGCTATTCAAGATTTACAGAAATTGGGATTTTTCTGTAGCACAGTGTCGTCTTCTGAGCGCATAATAATGTGTATTGTGCACGAAACCCACTTTCTGTGCATAAAGTAACACTACTGTGCACAAAATGCTTTTCAGAGGAAAAAAAACACAAACCAAAGCAAAAAACAAAAAATTGCACATTTCACAGTGAACAAATCCCAATTTTCAACTCTTCAGGATTCTTATTATCAGGGTTACTCAACATGAGGGAAAATCTCCTTTTAAGCTGAGTTTTTTTCTATCCCTGTCGAACAGACCTGGACGAACTCAAAAGACAATTCCTAAGGGGACAAGCAACAGTCTCCCAGCACCACCTACTGGGAATATTCTCAATTTAGCATTGAAAAAATCTTTAGCTGTAATGCTAGTAAATGCCATGAGGAACACCTCAGTGTTATGAGTAGCTGCTTCACATTGGGAATCTGTTTTCACAGGGATGGCAATACAGTACTGGTGTAAACTGAGCATCGGTCATTTTTTGCAAGTAAGGGACCATCAAGATCATACAGACTAATTCCTTTTTTTGGTCTGTGCGGAGTATCCCTGTCATAATTGAACAAATATTACTATTGAAACAAAATTAATGGTGGATACAGTGAAATAGTGAATATGACACATTTCTCTGATGGGTTGGAATATTATTAATCTATTTTGTTTAACCTGAGTTTGGGATGGAGGTGAATGGGATGTAATTTCCCTACTTGAAAAGGAAGATGCGGAGCTTGGGAACATTCCATTGTAACTGCAATTCCCAGATAATCTTCTAGCATAACCACTGGGGATTCTGGGAGCTGTCATCCAAAGAATGTTTCCAGGCTTTGGGGATTTCTGGGTCATTACTATGGATGGGTGGGTTGGTGAAAAAACCAAACGGATTATAACTCTCTGGAAATAAAATTAAGCCAAAGATACAGAGGAAGAATAAGAAATATAACGTCCAGGACAGCTCACAGCATTAAGTGAAAAAAGGAGAAAATTTAGAGGACAGGTGCTGGGCAAGAGTAGAAATATTCTGGATTGTCAGGAGAAGAAAACACACACCACCACACAGAGTCCACAGAGACTGAAAGATAAGTGTCTTTCAAAGAGAAGAGCTACATAATACTGCGATAGGAATACTCTTCAGAAAAACACCGACTGTGCCTTGGTTGTACTGTTGCTTCATTTCAGAAATCAGAGACATGGATAGATACGTACTGACAAACTATCTACTGAAAAGGGCATGAAATTTTTATATGCCTTTAAGTGCACTTTATAAAAATTACCCTCCCAGCCTCATTCTAAATATATTGTTAGTGGGGGTTTTTCTCACACACATTTGGTAATAAATTGCCTCATTTGTGTTGGGTTTTTCCATAAATTTGAGAACCTAAAACAAACACGGCATTTTGTCTGTTTATACTCCAGCTATCCAAAGAGTCGGTGCTTTACTGATGAGTATCATTGTGCAACTTTTTTTTCTCCCCCAGCTACCACATTAAAAACCAAATACCCAATTAATTGTAAGACATACTTGTTTTGGGGCATCTGCGGAGGTGGTGTGAACTTCAGTACCTCGGAGTCCATTAGACTCAAATACCACTGTGGGAACAAGGGGGCTTGTTAACAGATGAACATTCAAGCTTCGTTAGTGTGTGTACATTATTTGAGTCCATTACAGATTAACCACATTTGGGGGGAGGGTTGGGGGGAGGAAGCAAAGACACCAGCTCCTCGCCCGTAGCCGGAAAATACCAATTTACCGTAACACTTACTCTAAGAGAGTGTGCTAATGGCAGCCTAAGGCCACTGCCCTTTTTAATTCAGACTTCAGTCCTGAAGAAAGCAATCACTGACAACATTAATTATCAGTATATGTGTAAAGGGACCCTCTTCTTGAATTACTTACCATTTGGCCTCTGTCATTTTGCATCAGGTTGGCTTATGTATGCATCATTCACACTTCTCCAAAAAAAGGAGGGGGCAGAGAAAACCTTGGAAGTCTCATTGTCTCATGTAGTGCTATTAAGGTATCTTGACACACTAATAGTTTTAGCTTGCTAGGTTCTACATAGTAGCGTCACATTTCTATTTTAAAGGGTTGAGTGCCCAAGCTTAGCGATTTTGATTTTAAGAACCACAATAAGGGAAAGATTGAAACCCAGATCTCCTTCCATCCAGAAAAAAAGGAGAATCAAAAGGTTCTTTGATTTCAATTTGTGCTGGTGGCAATAGAACACATTAGCATATTCATTCCAGAGTATTCGGCTTTCTAATTAAAATTGTTGTTTTTTTGTTTTTTATAAAACCAACAACACATCACCACCCTATGAATAAGCTTATTTCAATGGAAACGCAATGCGATGCGATGCAAGGGAGGTGGAGGGAATCGAGTACCTGGAATGGAACAAGAGCAATGCTAATCATATTGGAAATGATGCAAAATGGGGAAGAAAGGTGCTTTTAAAAATCATTTAGGTTAGTAAAGAGGATTAAGAATAAAGTCAATTGTGGTTAGTTGGGGGAGACCTCCCCCACCCCACTCCCTCTGTAAGGACGGAGGAGAAAATGTACCTGTGTGAGACCTCAGGTGGGTCCTGAGGTGGCTAGGTTGAGTAAAGCCCTTCCCACACTCTATGCAGAGATAGTCTCCTTGGCGTGTTTGTGTCCTAAGCATCCCTGTGGTGGAGAGAGAAAAGGGGAGGAGGGAGAAGCGAGGAGTAAGGAAAGTTGAGAAGAAAACATTATGCCAGAGGAAAACATCATTAGTATGTCTAATGTGTCATTATGTGAGGCTACCTTCAGGCCCTGGATGACAACTGTCAGCCTTCATCTAGGCTCCAGCTGACAGGCCAGGCACACACAGGACTGCAAGAATGCATAAATTACATTGAATTAAAAAATGCTCCCCATGATGTGCCCGCACCAGGACTGGCATGTCAGGTGTGCGCTTTTCATAGCAGCTGGATCCACTTTTCAGCCATCACCCAGCTTTGTCAAGCAGTACATCAGGCAAATCAAAGTGACTCCAGCGTGGCGGAGACAAGTCACATGGATAATAGGAAGTGAGTAGAACCAGAGCCCGACTGTCCCCCCCAGGCTGCAATACCTTGGAGACAAATGCAGCGTGAGTGGAGCCATCACAAACGGATCAAACCTTTAGCCCTGCCTTACCTGCCTGCCGGTGCAGCTTTGACCCCAGACCTCTGAGGCACAGACGGGAGACATCTGTGAATCAAAGTGTCATTACGGACATTTGGAGATAGTAACAACGCAGCAGTCTTCTGCCAGCCTTCGACAAACATGTTTTCTAGGCCATTAGCATTTGTGGAAAACGACTCAAACCTCTTCTTTTTTTCCAAAGGTCAGTTTACAGTATCTGACTTAAAGGGCTGGTCGTTGTCTTTTTGCTGCTGATCAAAAAGGACACGTTTGACTTTTATTGGGTTATTTATTTCTCAAATTCTTTGAGCATCTTTTTTTGCTATTTTGGTAAGACAGGATCCTCTAAGTGAGTGGGAAAGGGCTTTTTTATTTGCTAAGCATGTCCTGTATTGAATATATATATTGAGGTTTTCAATGAAGTTTCAAGTTGCGAAGATGGTAGAAATAAAGCTTAAAATAACAGAATGTGAATCCCATTTAATTTCTTTTCAGGAAGAGAAACCAATTCCAGTAAATTAGACACTATCTGGCATTGCATGTTGTAAGTGAAAATACACCATCTTTTTCACCTTGGTGAAACAGCAAAGGCAATGCATACATACACATACATGCCATATTCAAGATGAAATGCAAACTTATGTGTGAGGAACACAACCTCAGTGTGTGTTTCCCAGTCAAGTGTGTGTTGAGCATTTCCTGACTGCTTTTTTCACCAGTTAAGTATCCCAGATGATGGTATAACATAATATGTCTGAGCCTGACCTGGACAAGTAATGCTGTTTGTTTACAGACATGGTTTAAAATTGAAAAAAAATTGCCAAAGAAATAAGGTTTATACATTGTATTAATGATTTTTCCCCCTTCTCATTTAGACTCACTATCCTTACTCAGTCCTAGTTTCAGTGCTGAACCTCAGCTGCCTACTTGGACACAGATACACTGGCATATTGAAAGCAATGTTGGGATGATAACAGCTTCTTCTTTACAGGATCCCTTTACATTTTCAAGGAGAGGGCATTTTTAAAAAAACGTAGTAGAGAAGGTGATGGCTTAGAATGATAGACATGAGGCATCCCAAAGTTTGTAGTTCTTTTTTGTTTGTTTTCCTGCCACCAGCAATAGCCCTGGAGCATTCCTCATTGCAAACAGAATAGAACATTAAACCACATTGTGACATACTCTCAATTCAAGAAGCATTCTTCAGGCATATCTTGTTTTTATTGATGTTGTGTGCCTTCAATAATTTTTGATTTATGGAAACCCTAAAACAACCCTAACAGAGGGATTTCTGGGACTGTGTAGGACTCACCCAGTGGGTTTCCATGGCCAAGTGGGGAATCAAACCCTGGCTCCCATAGTCCACTGTTCAAACAACTATATCATGCTGCCTCGTGGAGTGTATTTAGATATGTTTAGTACTTCCATAACACTAACATTGTCATGGGTTCATGCTAGGGAATCTTACGATTCTTAATTTAATCACTAAAGAACTTCTGCACGAGAAATCTGGTGTTGTAGTTTTGGGGAATAGACTAGAACTCTCTAATAGAGAATTAAAACTTTCTCAAGAAATCACAATTCCTAGAACTCCACTAAACTGAGCCATGGCATTAGTGTTATCAAGCAGCTATAAACATACAGTGTAGACATACCACTAATAACAACAAACACAACAATGAAAATGAGCGAGAGGGAGAGGAGATGGCTGCTCTAAGAAGTTTCAAATTCTTTAGCCTGTAAACCTGCAGGATTTGCCTTTTTCTAGCAGGAACAAAAGGCATAACCCCAGGGCTGGGTTATGTGGAATGCTCTCTGAATGGTAGGAAGCAAGGTAGATAGGTCTGCAATTTGAGTTTGAGAATGGCCAAGTCTTTTGTTTTCTCCAGACAATGGAATAATGACAGCTGCCAGCCTTCATTTAGGCTGTCATGGTCTCCAGTGCTATTTTAGTATGAGTGATATATTATTCATTCTGAAGAGGAGGAGATCCAGGGGCCAACGTTCAGATCCTGGGCTTTCCAGACTCATGCAGACTGTCTAAAATGAACAATAAAAGTGGAATTGACTGGAAGTCCTTCTCTAGATTTGAAAAAGGGATCTTTTGGATGTTAAACAGTATAGCTGTAACCTATTTAAAACACCAATCACTGTTCCTAGAAAGTTCAAAAAGATACAATTCACCCACATTTGGGTACAGAAAAGGAGCAGTTTGCCAATCCTTATGTAACCTACAAGAATTCCCTGGAGAACATGATGGTCATTTTGCATCTACTAGTCCTGCAATGTGCTTTTCACATTCTTTTCTTCTAAAGTAATGTGAAACTGTTACAATGTGATTGTTTTTCCTGCAACAATTGTACACAATGAACATTTTAATAATGTCTCCATTCAGATGACAGCAGCTATTCACTACTTCAAAGGCAATGTCTGCGAACAGGCTCCTTTATGGTGTAAATACCAAAACTGAAACTCCGTCTGTGAAGAAAACATCCACAAAAGGTATCTGTGATGTAAAGAATATTTTTAAAGAACGTAAAAATTGAGCACTGCTCAAAATTCGAAATCTATGAACTCATTTGTTATCTATACAAACGGTAACTTGTAAGTATTGTTGAAAATGTGTTTTGGCTCGCATATCTGGGAAAGATAATCCTTAAGAGATGGAAGGGAACTTTAAAAGCATTGAAAACATTCATAAACACTTTCTCTTTGAGCGATTAATTTTTAGTTTGGTCTAAAAAATCATTGAGTTTTGTGGAATTTTTTTCAGCGTTTCTCGGGAAGATCAGTATGGTAGTTGATAAGTTAGCTATACCAGTGCAGACTAGGAGCTGTTCAGTGGACAGAGGGCACTGGAGAACTCAGTTCTTTGCCTGATAGCACAATCATCCCTCCATATTTGCAGTTTCCACCTTTATGGATTTCATTATTTATTGTTTTGATTAAAATGTTTCATCTAGGTTTCTTTAGGTCCTCCAGTGTGGCTTTATGGCCATCTTCCTCTGATCATGCTACAGAACTAGAAATATCTGTAGAGAACACCTTTATCTGTGCCCCTGGGTGATTCTATGGTCAGCTCCCAGCAGATGCTGACCATAGGGTAATGCTGGAAGACCTAGAAGTTCCTAGAGACTTGTTCCCTCAGATATAAAAAAATCTTTAGTCAAAAATCAACCCCCCAAAACCTGGTTCAACTTAGCTCCATGTCAATATGGGTACTACACCTTCACTCATTATTATTTCAAAAGGAACCATCCTCTTTTTTGAGTGGTGAAAAGCAAGAGCTTTATCCATCTAAAAGAAAATACTCTATTCTCCTCTATAGTACCACTTTGGCCTTTTTGAAAGCCTGGTTGAGAAAATAGTGGTGGTGACTGTCCCACTGAGGGAGTATTGGTTCTTTGCTCTCTTTGCAGAATGACCCTCCACTTATCTATGGGTCATATCAAAACACACAATTTTGGCCCCAAAACCTACCCTTGACTTATAATCGGGGCTGACTTGTACACGAGTATACATGGTAGCATGATTGTTATCAACCACTGCTCAAACAAAACGTAACACTTTCTATCAGGTTTTTCTCTTAATGTATGTTTGACATGTGGGAAAAATATGAAAAAAAATATCAAAACCGATTGTATGATTAGACTGTATATCCTGAGAGTATACTTTGCCAACAATTTAGCAACATTCATATTTAGCATTCCGGAGTCTTTATATCAAAGGTTTTTTCCAGTATCATTTTTGTAAAATTCTCTCTCAGGGTATACTATATTATATTAAGAAGGTGGAGATGTATATAAATATTAGTCACTTTTATTTACATAAATTTCAATCTCTCATAATGCAGAGAAATTTCTGTGAACCAAAAAGGGGTAATTACTGTGCTGCCAGTGTCACATTTAATACCATGATAGTTGTAAATAACATTAATACTAAAATAACCTCTACAGATTTGAGGTGGTTTTTTGTTGTTTTAAAAAGATATTCTTAAGCAAGCATCAAGCTAGTGAATGCCTGACATAATACAAATGCTAATAGCTTGTACTGATATTCTGGCAGTACTTGTAACTATTTCTCCAAGGGATTGGAATATCACTGTGTTACTAGAAAGAAACAAAACTGTGCACTTGTCTCCTGAGAACAGGGGGCCAATTTAAAACGTAAAAGCCAAACCTTCAAATCTTCCCTAGTTTCACTACATACTAAAGCATTCATAAGGGAATTCTCTATTCAGTCTACGGGGAGCAATAAAGATCTACTGCAAAGGCAAAATATACTGAATATTCAAAAGTAGAAAATGAATAATGTGTGTGTGAGAGAGCGAACTAGGTGTGAAGCAAAACAAGGTGATTTAAAGGTGCTCCAACCTTGGCAAATAAAATTCAAATAATTCTAAATTCTTGCTAATTTCAATCTGTGGGTGATAAAGAATGATAAAGAATGATAATTGCTGCTGAATGGAATCATTCAGATGATAAAATGATCACAACTGCTATGCAAACAAAAAACTAACTGTTTACACCAACACATTATTAAATAAGGAAATCAGACAAGGAAATTAAAGACAAGATAACAGAAAGGTAATATTCTGAATTCCTAGGATTTATTTTCTGGTTTGACAAAATCAGTGAATGCTGATAATGCAATACATGTATGAGAATTTGAGGATGTGATGCAAATGGAAAATATCCTAACAAAATCTATTTTTGTAACAAGAGAATGAGAGAGAAAATTTAAGCTCCTATTCAACCAGGTTGCTCTAATATTTCTGCTCCAGCCATTTGACTGCCGTAAGCGTTGACGATATAGTTACATAAAGGGTGGAGAACCTATTGTGTTTGTATGTTTCCCCCACTTTGCTTTGTACTAAACTTTCAGCTCTTTGTTACTGAACAAACTTCCAGGATTTTTATTCTAGATGGATGATCTATATGTATCCTCTGACCCTTACATTCTGATGTCTAAAACAAAAGGAAGGAAAGACATGTGTTGACATATTCCAGCTAAGTTTCTAGTTGCATTCTTGTTTCAGGAAATCGGTACTCAGTTTCAGAAGCAGCATTGCCTTAACTTTTACAATTACATCAACTTCATAATATCAGGGGTATTAACTGATGAAGCCCAATTTTCCCAGCAGTCTTTCCATCTGTACAGCCTTCTTTGCTTCTGTTTCTTAGAGGACACACATTAATGTTTTTCTGTTCTCCAGATAGCTTTCATTTCATTTTCTGTTCTCCAGATAGCTTTCATTTCCATGTATAAATGGAAGTGGGACTGTGTAAGCAAGGAATATTTCTGAAGGGGACTTGTCGCATTTATCCTTTTAACAGTCAGAAAAACATCTCTTATTTTAACTAGCACAGAATGACAACTATATTTATAGTTGGCTAAGCAAATATGCAACAAAAAGACTAAGAAATTTAAAAAAGATACCAAGGTAATATACAAAAAGAAGTAGGCTTTAGTACCATTCCATCCAACTGTTTTGAACTGCTAGGAAAAACTCCAATTAATCGTCTGCCGTTCCACTTTTACATGCTTTTAAATGTCCCAGTTTTTCTCTCTGATTTCCACTTTCCTTCTTGTCTTTGGTTTACCACAAACAATGGAAACTGAATTCATTCTGCAAAGTAGTTTGTACTCATTTAATTCAACAGAAAGCAAAGGAAAGAAATGGGAGACTGAATCTTGACCTTCCCTGTGTGCTCAGCCAAAAGTAAACTACTACATCCTCTCCAAGCATGTGTGCTTTCTCATTAATAACTTTTGCCACCTTGCTCACTCTGATGTTGCTTGACCATATGTGTTCCAGTTTTCTTCTGTGAAATATTGGAGAATATGTAGCATGAATGCAAGACAACAAATGTAAGGCAACAAATTTAGAGGGTTAACTGTGCACTGCCCTTCTACCCAATTCTTTGGTGTGTGTATGAATTAACCTTAATATCTAACAACTGGCTTATTAAACATTTTCATGGGACACAATATCCAACTAAATTAATTCAGAGCTTCATGCTATTATAACACTTCTCTAGCCCTGTCCCTACCTTATTGGTGCTGATAGCTTGCCACTTTGAACGTGAAGGTAATAGAGGCCTGGATAGCCAAGAAAGATACTGTTATACATAAACTGTCACCAACTACACCCCCTATACTTGCAGCATAGTCACAGCAAAGCATAATTACGGAACAAATTAGTAGCAATTAGCAGCAAATGGATTTGGGAGGGACAAAGACATGGGTCAAATAATGTCTCTCCCAATTTCTTAATCTCCAAGATTCAAACTTAGATCATTCACAATGCTGCACAAAGCAGTCAATATTGTCCTGACTTGGTTGTAGTAAGACTGAAAAGCTAATAAATGTCAAAGTTGTCCTGATAAAGATCCTTGTCCAACTGATTTCTTCACCTGAATGACTATCCATGACTCTTACGGTTGCCTTCAATCTACACCCAGTATTTGTACTCTTACAGAAAACTCCTTTCAACAGAAATATCTCCCCTGCCATTAGGTTATCACAGTTTTCTCCATTTATCCCTATCTATCTATCTATCTATCTATCTATCTATCTATCTATCTATTTATCTTACCAGTGGAGCCAACACGACTCCAGCACTATCCTTCTCTACCTATCCCAATTTCTTCTCCATATTTTTAGGCATCTTTGTCTGATGAATAAAGTTGTAAAAACCTTCATAGATTTTAATGTTTAAGGTAAACTTTGGAGTTTGTTTTAAAGACAACAATGGTCTCCTCTGAATGCAGATGGAACTTTTGCAGGATCTTCCAGGTATCATACTGTCTAAAATAGCTGCTTATTGTATGCAAACCAAATAGGACATAATGTAAGCAATTGACTGTGGATACAACTTTAACAATGCAAAACTAAGTCTGAATGTTGCAGCATAGTGTGGTAGTTCCCCTGCCAGATCTACAATAGGCTGAGCCATACATCACTCCACTCCTCAGATTTATGGTAGTCTCTGAAGTCCTCCAGCCCACCCACTCACCACCCATGCTCACAGGACTACTACATGCCTCAGAGCACTTCGTCAATCCTGCCTGCTCCCCATTGAGGCACAGAATGGCCATGTATGATTCAGAGGCTATATAGTAAGTGTGACACTGGATGAGTGGGAAATACCAACCTCTACAGTGACCGAAGAACATATACAGGACTAAGAGAAACCTAATGTGTATGCTAGTAACAGAAGGTCAGTTTATGCATGTCTAAATGCACCAGTGTGGGGTAGTTAAATAAAGCAAGTAAGTTAGTCAAATACAAACATTAAAACCATAGTTTCAAGTAACCTATAATATTAACAACACTTATTAATTTAAAAAAATACATCATAAAGTCAGTCCTTGGAATCCTTACCAGCATGGTCCACTACAGGGCTATTGGCACCCCATGTTTGATAGAGGGTAGCAAGTTCCTTTGGAATGGACGTCTTAAAGATGTTTAAAATATCTAAATGGTGTTCTTCAGATGGTGGCTCCTGTTTGGTGGAATGTACAGTTGGAGGTGGACCTGCTGCATTACTCTGAATTTGAGGTTGAGGTTGTGTCAAAGGACTTGTTCTCGATCCCACCATACAATTTGTCAATACCCTCACATCATTTTCTCTCTTGATATTAGGCTCTTCCAGAGGCACTGCCAGTTCTTCTTGGATAACATATGGCTCAGTTTTACATGGAGGGTGGAACTGAAGTGAAGAGAAAATTTTGGTTTTCCCTGGTTCTGCGGTACAATGCTTGCTTAAAGAGGCATACCCAGCACTCATTTGGGGAACTGCATATTTCTCTGCTTGTTTGCTGTTGGAGGGCTGTGAACTGGCTTTAGATATAACCATCTGAGAAGGTGTGGAACATCTAGTAATGGTTCCTGGTTGCATCAACTTTGAATTCACTTCATATTTTGCTTTCAACTGGGGCTGTTGAACTACAGTACTATACTGTTCATGAGTGTGGTTGAGCTTGGAGTGCCTGTAACCTTCAGTTCCTGAAGGCCGTGGGCCATAGCTACCAGTAGACTGTACATCTTTAGACATACTCCCATGCTTAGCAGTTACACCAAGACCCGAGGAATTGCTCTTGGATCCTGATACTCCACTCGGCACCTGAGTACGTGCAAATCTGGCTATAGGTAAAGGCTGGCAATCTTTACCACCAAGAACGGGTGGGGGTCCAGTGCGCCCACTTCTTGTCATAAAAATGCAGTTGTTTTTCATACTTTTGAATCCATTTTGAAGAACCCAGGGAGGGGCAACAGAGTTACAACTGACCTTGTGCCAAATTCTTTTGTGCATCCAGAGAACTTCTGGGTAATAGGTCTTATGACTGCAGTAAGGACATGGATGGATGATCAAAGCAGCCTGCAGAGTTGAGGTAACATTCGTATTAGATGAATCAGCCCTAGTTGACTTCTCACTGAGATCTAATGGAGTCTCCTCTGGTACATCACTATCTTTATTAAGTGTAGAGTGCTCATTCATATCAGGAGAATTCTCTTTAGAGGGCTTATTCTGAATCTCCAGAGAAGTTTGCAAATTCAATCTCACATCAGAACATATCTGGCTAGAAGGAAATTGAACCATCTTACTGGAGCAAGGGGCATCACAGCTTTGTTGAAATATCAGCCTCTTTGAACCTAGAGGACATTTGCTGTCCACATATTTTGGAATCGACTCTTTGATCTTGCTTTCCGGTGTAGAGGATACAGTTGGCCTCTCCAGTTTAGATTCACTAGCATTTTTTTCTCTTCTTCCATGTTTGAACTGTAGGGCTGCCTCGGGCACAGTTTCTTCAGAAAAAGTGCAAAGATATGGCTTTTTACCTGCAAGGAATACATGAGAACAAGATTACTATAATGACAAGAAGCCAGGTTTCCACATCAAGAAGGAAAAGGATCTCTGGATGAACAACCTTGCAGGCTGGTGCAGGCTGGGGCAGGGAACATGTGACCTTCCAGATAATTTTGGATGATACTACCTTCAGCCTTAAATGCCACAACCAATGTGTGTTTGTGTGTGGAAGGAGTGCCACTGAACAACATCCAGAGAGCCACAGGTTGTTCTCCACTCCTGATGTTATAATACACTTCTGCACAGAAATCTATCCTCCTGCCATCTTTTACTCAAGTTGTTCCCACTGAAAGGAATGGGAAATCAATGTGTACATCAAATTTCCTAATGATTTTCCCTCCAGACTATCTTTCTTAGACATTTTCCTGTATGCTAATAAAAAGGAAAGAGATGCATTCTGTCAGTGATTTTTGCAATTACATCCATATATTTAGATATCACTGTGATTGCGAAAATCACAGCAAAAAACTTCAAAGTATACTTTAAATAATATTTTCAATACATTATTCGTTATTTTCAAAACCTACTTCTCACAGGTCAATTTTTGGGATGTTCACAAAAATTCTTACCTGAAACATTTCATACAGTGTGTTTGTATGTGACGGGGAGTTGAATAAAAGGATAAACTATAAACAGATGATGATGACGATGATGACGATAAGAAGTATAGGATCTCAGGTCAAGAAGTGATTGAATATTTTGACTAAAGCATTATTATATTAAGACAAGGGGTGGGGTCAAAAGGGCTGCTTTAGTCTTAAATATTGCAGAACTAAGAAACTTATTACCTATCATTATATTAAAAATATCTATTTATTCATTGTGTTTACACCCCATCTTTTTCCCACAATGAGATTTGTATACATTCATGTTATACATGTAATTCAGCACATACTTTGAGTGCATCACAGTGGTTGTGATTTTTTTTTTTTGCAAATAACATAAAAATGTACATCAGGATCAAATTGTATTTTCTAGTATTTTGGGAAGCAATTTTTGGGAGGAAAAAGCATATTGAAAGACGGATCAATTAAACATGAGCCAGTCCTAAATTTTCCACCATTTTCACATATCACAGGTCCCCTTTTGGCATGAAGAGCACAGCAAAATGTGGACACTACCCCAGAAGCTGTGTTTTGAGCATCAATTTGTCCCAGCAGTTATTGGCCTGTACCAGAAATATTCTAGCTCAGAGGCAGCATTGTGTGAAGAATTCAGGATATTTTTTTGCAAGAAAACGAGGTAAGTACATCCAGGAATTCAATAAAGACTGCACTGCAATAAAAAACAAAACCCAGTACAGAACCAGTGACTACTGATGACTTTACCAGATAAGAACTGGTCACAAGATTTAGAAGAACTTGTCAGTATTTTCATGACAGGTAATTTAATTCTAACAAATTTATTCAATTGTAAGAAACAAACAAACATGATGCAGCAACAAAAACTGGCACTATTCTATGTACAGTAGACTCTCAGTTAACTGGCACCCATGGAGATTGGTAGATGCTGGATAAATGTAGGTTCTGGTTGCTTGAGAGTCATTACTAAAAAATAGGGCTAATACGATACTATATCGTACCATAATCTTTGTATTGCCTTGATAGCAATATTGAAATACAGTAATTAAAAACGAACTAAGAAGAAAGATAAATGTAACTCAAAGTTAAATTTAACTTTGAGTTAACACAGTAAAAATAGTTTTTGTAAATGCAATATGATTTCTTCACTTTTTGCCAGTTGCTTCAGTTCTGGTTAACTGAGAGTCCATTGCATGTAAACAGCCTATGAATTACCTATTTTGTGGAAGAATAACAAAAATTTTTTATAACCCTCTGTCAATCTGAACTCTAGGAGCTCCCAGTGGCACAATGGGTTAAACCCTTGTGCTGGCAGGACTGCTGACCAATAGATCAGCAGTTCAAATCTGGGGAGAGCAGGTTGAGCTCCCTCTGTCAGCTTCAGCCCCCCATGTGGGGAACATCCAGGTGTCTCTGGGCGACGTCCTTGCAGAGGGCCAATTCTCTCACACCAGAAGCGACTTGCAGTTTCTCAAGTCACTCCTGACACACACAATCTGAACTCTGCTTCTTTTCATTTTTCTGACACAAACCAACATGCTTAGTTTTATTTTAATAGTTGAATTGAAAATTAAGCAAATTCATGAGTATATCTACAGATTAATAGTTTCATAGCCTAGCATATTAAATTAGCATACATGAATTGTTCATTCCCACCAATTTGCTCCATTATAACCCAAAATAAGAGAAACATTACTGAATTGTGAACAAACAAAACTATAGATAAATACTGGGCAGTTAAAGCACTGGGGAGGGGACATGATTTAGAAGCCTTAAGATGACTTTATAAAAACATCTAGTTTTATACATATAAACTTGTCATTCTTCTCACAAAGCATACCTAACGTAAAACATTAACTTTTTAATGTTCACGCAGTGTCCATTTATTAAATAAATTGCAGTTTCATAAGTCAATCAATCTGCAAATAATGGCCAGGAGAGTTGCTGAACAGTTGTATTCAGAATTTCCAAGAGTGAAGGAATCAGACTTTAGCTAGCATTTTCTGTATCTGCATTTCCTTTCAACAGCAATTTTGAAAGCAAGCATTTTGGAAAGTCAAGCACATCACTGTTGCTTAGTATAACTTTGGTACCACAGGCAGTGTTCCAACCCTGCCAAATGCGATCTGTTCTAGGCTGAATTTTCAACAAAAACAATGTCTCAGCTTCAATTTAATTTGGCCTCAACTCCTGTTCAGGCAAAAAGCCTTGAGCCTTTGTTTAATTCTGAGTAATTAGCTTAAAAATAACCCATAGATTTGCTGTCTAACGAGGTTGAATACTCACTCCGTTAAGATCATTTTCTTTTCAAATTCTCAATGGAACATGGCCCTTTGTATTTGAAGTGTTTTCTCAGTTTTACAAGAAGTTAAGACTTCCTGAAAGCACATGGCCCCACATGGCTAGTTAAATCTACACTTGGGATCAAAAGGGCTGTGCAGAATTGTGAAAGTTGATATTGTTCTTGCATAAATCTTAAGTTGATCACAAAATTTAGAATGCGGTTTGTTTCTTTAAAAGGACAAACAAACAAACAAACAAACAAACAACAACAGGCAGATTCCAGGTCAAGAAGTGACAGAATGCTTTGACTAAACGATTGTGGTGATAGCATTAAGCTTGGTAAAAATGGGGGTTAATCCAAAAATTTGTAGCGACAGTGATCTTGCTTTTTATTCTTGAGTCTTTCAGGGCAAAGAAATTAATGAAGTGTCATTACATTAATGTGTGCCCCCCTGGGCACACAGAAAACTGGGTGACTTGGAAGGCGCTGAACAGAATGCGCTCTGGCACCATGAGATGCAGAACCAATCTTAAGAAATGGGGCTACAAAGTGGAATCCAAGACATGCAAGTGTGGAGAAGAGCAAACCACTGACCACCTGCTGCAATGCAACCTGAGCCCTGCTACATGCACAATGGAGGACCTGTGGCAACACCAGAGGCACTCCAAGTAGCCAGATACTGGTCAAAGGACATTTAATCAACTGCCAAGCTTGCAACTTTGTGTTTTGTTTGGTTTGTTTGTTTGTTTTGTTAAAAATGTAATACAACTGTCTGGTTGCTCCTGACATGATAAATAAATATTAAAAATACATGTAATTCAACACGTATTTCATGTACTTTTCAATTTAATGATCAGGAGAGTTGGTGTTGGGCTGTAATATTTGTTTATATATTAAGTGTTTACATTCTACCCTTGAATCAAAAGGGCTTCCAGAATGGCTTATACCAAATAAGGAAAGAGAGATGGCGCCAGCAAGCTGTAATGGTTTGACCAGTCCTGAGTTCCAATCCCTGCTTTGCTACGGAAACCCAACGGGTAACCTTTGGCGGTTCACACCATCTTAGCCTCAGAGAAAGGTTCTAGAAAAGTTCAGCCTAGAAAATACCGTGATAGGTTTGCCTTACAGTCAAAAGTCAGAAATGACTTAGAGGCACACAACAATAACAACAATGAGGGAGGAATTAAGTATTATGTCAGATTGAGCTAATCATTTCTGCATATTTTTTCATATATGAAAATTCTATGTACTGATTTTCTACTTCCAGGGTGTTTGATGTAAGGAAAATTAAGTGGCATAATCCCCCAACGGAAATCTGAAAAGGAATGTTTTGTTTTGCTTCCTCGTAATTCTACCACATGTATATACCACATGTAGTGTTCCCTCGCTACTTTGCGGTTCGCTTTTAACGGACTCGCTGTTTTGCGGGGTTTTTAAAAAAAATATATATTAATTAAAAAATAAAATATTTACGTCCAGTGGAGGCCAGAGACCCCAGAAGTGTGGCGGCCTGAAGTGCAGCGGGGAAGACCTGCCTCCCTGGCCTGCTGCTGCCTTCGTGACTCTGGAGGCTCTGCCAGGATCTGTGGAGGCCAGGGAGCTGCCCTTGGGATGGGCCAGGAGGCAGGTAAGGAAGAAAATAATTTATAAAATATATAAAATAATGTATAAATATTAAAATTAATATGGCATCCCTACTTCACAGATTTTCACTTACCGCAGGTGGTCCTGGAACGGAACCCCTGCTATAAGCGAGGGAACACTGTATATATTGCTTGTTTAACATGATCCCTTCAAAATTTGTTCTTTTTTTAAAATAGCCATAGCTGTACTTTCAAAGTATTTCAATAACTTTATGCTTAGTTTATAAGATACAGCTGGCTAGTAAAATAAAATGAAGAGCAAATCAAAGGAGGAAAATGCACACACCAAATGTTTTATTTCACTCTCTGTTCTTAGTTTAAAAGACTCCTTTTTCTGTCTCCGAGATATTAGCTCAGGCTTAGATATTGTGGAGGAGAGAAGGATTTTGCAGTGAGTTTTATTGTTGAGCAAGCATTTGAACTAGCTTCCCAGTCCTGGTCTAACATTTTATTATTAGACCAAT